TGTGAAATGCGTTGCTGGTTCTCCTAAGTTTCTTAGGGCACGGATGCTCCAGAGAGCGTGCAAGGGATTAGTTGAGGATATTTGCTTTCATGGTATTTGTGCTCCTTTATAACTTGTAATACTGAAAGTTAAGCCTATACAAAGAGCCCGGCATGCTTTTGACGTGGGATGGTTACGCTTTCTCCAGTATTCACAGACTACGTTTTTGTGAAACACAGGTCCCTTCCCACGGCCAAATTTGTTCTTCGGTTACATTCTCTCTCTGGCACTAACACTGAGCTGCTGGATGAAATTAAGCCAGTGATTTTTATCTCTTTTTCTTCCAGTTTTTTACATTTACACCACGCAGTATGTGGTACAAGGTCTGTTTCTTCCCATGTGATGCTGCATAGCACCTGCCCTTGACCCTTATGAGCCGCTATAACACATGTCCCTACCCATACGTGTTCTGGTAAACAAGGTGCTGTGAGAGAGATATGTTCACGATGGGGACACTCTAAATCCACCTACAGCAATAAAAACTAATACTTAGGCAGTTGGCCATCTATATGTTAGGAAGAATTATTACCAAACGTGGTTTGATTTTTTTAGTGTTGGGTTGGGGTTGCGGGGGGGTTAAGGGTTTTCTGGCTTTTTTGGGGTTTGTTTGGGGTTTTTATCCTTCTCTCCTTCTTTACAGAGCTTTCTTTACTGAGAAAAGCTGGATACCTCACTGGCTTCAGCAAGAAATGCAAAATGTTGTGTTACCAAGTAATATGCACTATCGCAACCAAGTCAAAAGGGACTTCCACAAAAGAAAAGCCTCAAACAGTAAATGTGACATGACAATATTTATTGATTCTAATTAAGGTTAAAAAAAGTTCACAGCTGTCAGATAAAAATATCTGCAGAGCCTACTGAAAAGGGAACTTAAGAAGGAAACCAAGGGAGACAGTCACCACAGAGGCACTTGAGAAAATGCTACAGTTATAAAAGGCACAAATTCATCAAACACACAGCATATATATTCCTGCAAAATGAAGTCACTCTTTTTTTCCAAAACACAGAGGCAGGCATCACTGAACACTGACCTGTACATGACCACAGGAGACACGCTATAAGCAGCAGTCTATGACAACGCCTAAACGATTTGACTGTAGAGATACTCTGAAAGCAAGACTGCTTTGGCTATCTCATTTTTACCTTTATTTTGAAGAACAGATTGTAGACCGAGGTGATCTTAAGGTGGTGGAGATGGGAGAGAGAACACTAGTCCATTTAAACACAGGTCACGTTTATTTGTGAGCATTTGTAATCCGCGATTTAAGTGGGTTTGCTTCTTGCCCAAGAGTAGTGGCAGATCTGTTGTCATGTAATCCTGGCTCCCTTTTGCATCCAAGTACTTTTGGAGGACATACAATTCCTTCTTCTGCAAAAATATTTTTCTTTCATGTCTCAAAAAAAAAAAAAACCTTAAAATTTCTGCAATTCTGTAAAGTCTACCTCAGAAACACAATAGTCCCACTGAGGGCACAGGAAGATTATTTTAATAGAAGTCCCTAGCTTCTCCTCCAGGCCTTGGGTTCTAGTGATGAACAATGCTCAGACATACACTAAATTGTGATTAAAGTCTTTGTTGTATTGACAGCAGATGTGCTATTTGGAATCATGATCTGCATTAAGTAAAAAAAAATGCACTAGTTAAAGGAAAGACAAGGGGCTGCCTCAGATTGCTCACTTCCTCGTTATTGTCGAGTAGTTTATACAATCAGCTTTCAAGTACTTTGGTTAACACAGATTTTCATGCCATGACCCGACATTCTTTGCAATATACAGTTGCTATCAGAACAGCGTACAAACAAGTAAACCTCTTTTTTTGCAAACTCTTAAGAGCCTTACAAAATATGCATGATAACACAAATCAGTTCATAGGAGACGAACACAATTATTTCCATGGTTGTTCCTATAATACATTTTTACGAAGCTGGTAAACTGCTGGAACTTTCATGATAGCAGATTTCTCATCAAAGATGTTAATAAATTAAGAATATAGCATGACAGGGTACCCATCAAAACAGACTTCATTCCTCTCTTTGAAGGGTTGGCACGAAGGAATTTTAAAAATATAAGCCAGTGCTAACCGTTCCCTCTACCCACGAGGAAGCAACTTGATTCTCTACCTACGTTTGTCAATTTTCTCATCACACTGCCATCCAGATACACAAAGTGCCACATATTCTTTTGATGTGGAAGATGTCGAGAAAACAGCAGCAAATCCTTCTTTTTAATCCCATAGTAGTGATAAGCTCCACAGCATAGTTGTTGCAAGACACAGCTGTAAAGACAAAGAGAGCATTCCTAACGCTTTGGCAGTCTGGAAGGAAGACGACAGACTTTTGAGAGCTAATACAGATGTTGCAATTCAGACCTCCCAGCTCCATCAGATTTGGCTAGAAATCTCAGGGGATCCAAACTTAATTTGAGACTTCAAGTCACACCTACTTACAGTTGTGGCAGAATAACATGCAAAATACTTTGTGGGTTTTTTCCATTTTTGTTTCACTTTGAAACTAAGGATAAGGAAGGCTTATCACTATCTACTTTTTTTTTTTTCCCCCCAAATTGACCAATCTCATGAAAAGCTTTGGTTATGATTCCATTCAGTTCTAACTATATCTAACTTCTGTTTTTCCTTGGATTTTCTGCCACTGTGGCACACAACATTTTCTTGTTAGACTGGAAAAAACCTCTGCCAGATTCAGAAGCAAAGAAAAGAGAGATACATTTTGGACGTGAATAAACTCGACTTACCCTCATTAGTCTCATAGATCTGCTCCCCTTTAGAGACCTACAGAGTATTTCTAGGGCAGAAGCAGGACTTGAATTCCAAACAGTTTTGGCAGAGAAATCAACTGCAAATGCAGCAGTTCTTTACATGTTAAGCATGTATTCACCGTCTAGCACACAAATATTGGGCCAAGACTTTAAAAATGTCTTCCCAAATTTAGGTTCCTATGTTTATTTCTGGCCTAAGAATTGTCTGACTTGCACAAGCTCTGAACTTACACAGTTCCCATTCAGCTTTCGGTTCCCAAGTCATTTAGTAAATAAATCACACAGAGAGAAAGCCACGTAGAAGCACTTTGTGGTAGGCAAATGTCCCAGCCAATTAGTGCTCTATGTGATACAATGAGAAAGGCCATATGTACACTGCTGCACTGTTCTTCTGGCTTAAAGATCTTTAGGTCTGAAAAGTTCCCTATGCATTTTAAAAGGCTGTTATGAGGATATTCATTTGCAATAAAATCCGGGCTGCCGCTACAAGAAGATTTTTTTAACTGCCACATCAAGTTAAAAAGAATGAAACCCAAGGGAAACTGATGTGCTGCTCACAAATATTACAGCTTTATAAGTAGTTCAGTGGATTTCCACGGGAATACTTGGAGAATGAAGTACTCCTCTGCACAAGCAAGATCAGATGCTAGCCCAAAAGGTCTGCCTGAGACTGGTGATATAGTTCCTCTACCGTCTGCTCACACTAGTTGCTGAATATGTTATTATACTTCCTTCCATGGCTTTTTATTGCAATGTAATTTTTAACATATAAATTGGCACTGGTTGAAGGTAGCAAACAGGCTCAGAAAAATTCCAGACATCTCAGACTTCGTGTGCACAAAATTCTGTTCTCAGTTATACCTGTGTCTTCCTGTTTTGTGTTGTGCAGATGTAAAACAGCAAAATACCTAGACCAAGGTACGCATTGACAGGTAAGCATGTAAGGTTTCAGTGGTTGGGGTTTTTTGGTTTCTGTTTTTCTTTTTTTTTTTTTTTACGTTGTTTGAAAGGTACCAAAGCTAGGGAGGGCAGAAGCACTTGCACGTGACTACCCTATCCTGGTTCTCTTTGATCTCTTTATCATTTAGATCCGCGATTAGTTACCAAAAGCGCACAGCCAGAACAGACAGCACAGAACAGCAGGCAGAAGTGGAAGTGCTAATCCCATCAATATGGTTGTTCGGAGAGACTGATGCTCTGAATCAGCTAAGGTGCACTCAGCATGAAGGGAGTGTTGGGGGGCAGGTTTCTTTGTTGTTGTTGTTTTTCATGCTAACACTACATTTTCAAACCCACTGTGCCCTACCAGGCAAGAGACAGCCTCAAGGTGTTAGAAATATAAATTTAAGCAGATGAAAAAAGGGAGGGAGATAACAAAAAATACGTAGAAGGTTTTATGGACAGCTTTACAAGTTCCTGGGGTAAGCAGAGGTTCATTTGTTCTCTTGCAGCAACCTAGGGAGCTAAAAGAGGATCTTGGAGGCAAAGAGATGTCAGACAGGGTGAAAAAGGTTCGAAAGGCTGTGTCTGTGCATTAGCACAAGGCTCTCCATTCGCACTCGGGTCCAGCAGCCTGATCTGTCATACTGCTGTACGCGTCAGCTACAGCCTGGGGCTTGCCAGTTTTCCAGGCAGGGGGGATCCGATCCCAAGCAGGGACGGACTCGAGTGGGACACACGAGCTCTGCCATTCCAGGCAGCGTGAACACACCTAGGGAGCCTGAAATTCAACCACATTGCCCAAGGCAATAAAAACACTGTCCTTTAACTGACTGCAGGATGAATATGCCGCTGGAAATGCCAACAACCTATGGCCACACTTGCATAGTTCGGATGGATAAATTTAGCTTGACTTGTGCCTTAGGTGCTGCCTGGGCTCTGGGCATCTGGATGAAAAATAAAAAACACTGAGAAAGATCCTCACCAGCAATTTGCATGAACTAGTTAATTATTCTTCAAGCTATGGATTTCTTTTCTCAGTCCACCACACAGGAAGGCAGAAATCCTTTCTTTACAACTAGAGATGGAACTGCCTGTGAAGACTTGGGGTTCAGGGTCTGGTTCAGATATAAGTGTAAAAACAACTGGAAATATCACCAGAACAGGCTTTATAGAGGTACTTTGTCGCTTCTGTTCTGAGATCTGGATAAAAACCTCAAGGTGGTAACGCTTGGCAGGGTATCCTAGAAATTCAGCAACCAAAAGGTTACTGCTAGAAGTAGGCCTGGATTCAAGGGGCTCTTTTTCAACATGGATCCCCTTCCTTTATCCCTCCCCTCCAGCCTCTTCTCACTACTGTTTTCTCCTCTTCCCCAGTCCTGATCTGATTTTGGAGACAGGGAAGTACATGCCAAAAAAAATCTCCTGAAAAAAAGAAAACCACTCAAGTGTGAGGCTTTGCATTGGCACCTTTTTCAGTTTCGAACTAGAAGTCCCTTTTTGTAGGCAAATAACCCAGCTGCAGCCACAGCGGTGCAGAAAGTGGAAAATGCCATTAGCTTTAGCAGTCCCGGCACAGACGGCAAGTTCCTCTCCCAGAAGGTTGTAGCGATGGGCAGAGCTGGAACATCCTGTGGGGAGAGCATCCATTATCAATATAACATCTCCACTGTGAGGGGCAGGAAGTAAATCGCGAGATTCTCGTGGCAGAAACAGAACTGGGTTGACACAGTTCAGGTTATCAAGGAGTAGAGTGTATCAAAATGTTCTGCTCAGTTAAAGGGAAGAAGAAGAAACAGATGGAAAGGATTCTTAGCCCGGTTAAAAAGTGCAGTTCTGTCTGATCCCGTGTTACAGAGCTGTCAGATGGGTGCCCTCTCTGAGTTTCTATCATGTTCCAGTTTAGAGAAGGGCAGTTTTGGTGAGTAAGGGAAAGTTCATTGCGGCTTTGATTTAGTGAACTTAAATAAAAACAGCCAACAGAATTTTATGTCATCAGCAAAACTGCAGGAAAGAAAAAAATCCATTTAATCTACAGAAACACTTACAATTGATTCAGGTTCTGGCTTCCAAATTTCACTGTCTGGGATTTTCCTCATAGCAAACAGTATCTGAAAATAAGTAACATTCTCTAGTAAATTACACTTTCAAAGAATGAATGGTACAAGAGCTGGCTCAATTTTTGTTTTAAATTGGCATGATGAGGGTAAGAACTGAGCACATAAATCTCTGTGTATTCAAATTTTAAAAAGAAAACTTGACCTTTGTACAACTCATTTCTGGGGAGGCTTGATATTTAGTAAGACGCTCCTCCTAGTGGAAAATAGAAACAGTAACAGAAAAACCTCTCTTGGCTTAGTTAGTCCATGCAAGGTATCGGAATTTGACTAGTCCCAGGGGAACAGGGTGATACGAATATGACTAAGAGTTAAGTGAGGCATGCATAAACCAGCTAACGGCATAGGCAAACTATATAGCCAGGAGTAGCTTGTTTTGCAAAAATTTACCATGATGTAGGAAGAGGAACAGAATCCTGTGAGTGATGACAGACCACCACTTTCAGCCAGAGACAAGCAAGACTAAAAAGAAAACCTTTACAATGGAAAAGTAACCATTCAAAGTATCGAAGACACTGGAGAACAGTAGGATAGCAAAGGTTATCTGAAGTGATAGTCATGAAAGACAGCAGCATTAACTTCTACAGGAAAATAAAATGGAGACGGTGATATTAATGTTTTTCCAGGCACTTACAGATTTAAGATTTGCAGTCTTTTACAATGGGCTTTTATTCTAGACAAGGTTCATGGACCCCGCTGACTTTTCAATATGGGAGAGTAAGAAACATTCTTGCACTAGATTTTAAACATATTTTCGTCTCACAAGGAAACAAGGAAAGGAAAACATCACCATTTTTACAAGCTCACTTGCCAACTTCTCTGCTGAGGCCTATGGAGGTTGTTGCTGTAATGTCCTTACATTAGCAAGGCCATGAGGCACTGCCTGAAGGTTTTCAGAACAGGCTAGGCATAACCTTCACAAATGAGACAGTTTAGGGAGAGTTGATCTCTGTCTTTTGGGGCAGGGGTATGGGCTAGACAAACTCTTCAGATCCCTTCCAGGCCAGTTTCTGTTCCACGACTGTAGTTTTTGGCCACAAGGTTCCCTTCACCTCATAAAACAAAGATGAACTTTCTTCTGCTGCTCAATAAACTGTAATATTCCTGAAGATACTTGAGGAATTGGCATTTTCTCAGAAGCAAAATATTTCTATCCTTGTTTAATGACTTTATGCAAGGCTGTCTCAACGGTATATCGCTGTGTTGGAAACAGCTGAGGAAGGGACTGGCTTGGTGAGCAGAGCTGCAGAACTGAGCTGTTCCTAGTGAGGCTAATGGCCATGATCTCTCAGTACGATGACTAACAAAGTGCCCATTTGGGGGAAAAAATGACTAGGTGAGAATTTAGGGTTTCTGTTAAAGAAAGGATCTCATTCCTGGAAACAGAGAAGAGTTTGATGAAGTAGCCAAAGCCCTTCCTAAGCATTCCAAATGCAAGTGCAAAACCTTCATCCTTTTTGAAGTCTATCCCCTTCGCATGGATTTGCATCAATATTTCAGAATGCCTAAGGCTGTCAACACTCAGTTCCCATTTCACCTCCAACCAGAAGATCTTTCATTTTCCACAGGATATTTGACAGTGCCCCCTGTTTTGGGCTTCTGTCTTTACCTCTCTGGCTGCTCTTTCTCCAGCCTGTACAGCCCCCTCCATGTATCCACTCCACTCTGTGGCTGTCTCTGTGCCAGCAAAATAGATCCTGCCAACGGGCTGCCGAATAATCCTGGAGGGGGACAAGGAGAAAGTCACATCAGCCATATCAGGAAAGACAACTGAAATCCTTGGGTTAATATTAGAATAAGAGTGTTTTAAATAACAGCGAGCACTTAAAGATAGTAACTTTGGGTGAGTTGAGCTGGAGGGGGAGCTTGCTTTGCATTTCACTTCTTACATAAGCACACTAGTGTTCATATTTTCTAAATGTTTACACTGCTCATAGGTGTAAAGGACAACTAGTTCGAGATGGGACTTATTCTCTCTCATGATTTTAACCAGTGTCATAAATGCCAACGCTAGGCAGTAGTGGCACAGTGTAGCATTCTGAAGTACATCCCCACGATATCTAAAGTAACAAGCAAATAAAAAAAATAAAAAGGATTTTCTTTTACTCTATTTCTGCCAGAATTTGCAATAATTTTCATTAAAACTACTTTAAATACTAAGGCCTCCACATGCTCTTCATTACAACTGCTTTATTGCTCTAAGTTCTTTTTAAATTGTGAAAACCTGTACTCCAAAAGTAGGGCTATACCACCACATTAAAAACTGTGTACCTGAATCCAATCACCGATCTGGCCAGTAAGCCTTTTTCTTTTTGGTAAATCTTATTTTCATGCAAAAATTTATGTTGGCACACTGATTACTGCTAAAAGGAAAGGAACAGTCCAAAGAAATCACTCATTACTGTCAACATTGACAAGAATTCACTCTCTGCCAGTATTTGTTAAATACCTGCTAAAGATGTGCTAGAAACAGTAACACCAAAGTCAGTTTTGTAAGTAGATTGTGAAAGCTTCCCAACTCCCTTCCAAAAACCTACTCAGCTGTATTCACTGAATAACAGAAGTGAATAAAAACCCCTAATGATACTGTACTCGTCCATCATAAAGCCCAGCTGAGACAAGTGGAAGATTTTATCTGTTTAAAATATTCCCCAGTGATCTTAAAGGTATAAAATGAACAGTGACAGAGGATTTATGACCCTTTCTGAAGATATTTATTGACTTCGTCTTATCTTACTACTCCGAAACCCACTATAAATAGACACCGTACCTTCCATATTGAGTCATTATGCCTGGTGGGAAGTAGGCTGTGTAGCAGCCCCCAGAATACTGTTCTTCACACCAGTTCTTCTCTTCATAATGCACTGGCTGTAAAACAGAGATTAATTCACTCAAGAAAAGGACAAAGTCCCGAGGAAGCTAATAAAAGAACTGAGGAGACAGCAGAGAGGAACAGCTTATGATTTGTTGCATGTCAACGACAAAAAGAGCACGTTTAACAAGTCTCTTAATGCAACATGGAACTGACACAATAAGCCTTAATTTTAGACACTGCTAGCTATTTTTAAAAAAACTACCTAATCTCGCCACTGTAGAACATAATCCGCTTAATCTGTCAATGTAAATTTATGCTTTAAGCCATGTAAAGCAAAATTAGCCTCTGGTGTACAATACTTGTAATACATACATTGGTGTCCTGGTTTTGGCTGGGATAGAGTTAATTTTCTTCCTAGTAGCTGGTATAGTGCTGCATTTTGGATTTAGGATGAGAATAACGTTGATAACACTGGGATGTTTTTGTTACTGCTGAGCAGGGCTTACACAGAGTCAAGGCCTTTTCTGCCTCTCACACCACCCCAACCAGCAAGAAGGCTGGGGGGGCACAAGAAGTTGGGAGAGGACACAGCTGGGACAGCTGACCCCAACCGAGCAAAGGGGTACCCCATACCATATGATGTCATATGCAGCATATAAAGCTTGGGGAAGGAGGAGGAAGGGGGGACATTTGGAGTGATGGCGTCTGTCTTCCCAAGTAACCATTACGCGTGATGCAGCCCTGCTTCCCTGGAGATGGCTGAACTCCTGCCTGCCCATGGGGAGTGGGGAATGGATTCCTTGTTTTGCTTTGCTTGTGTGCGTGGCTTTTGCTTTACCTATTAAACTGTCTTTATCTCAAACCATGAGTTTCCTCGTTTTTACTCTTCTGATTCTCTCCCCCGTCCCATTGTGGGGAGTGAGCAGCTGTGTGGGGCTCAGTCGCCGGCTGGGGTTAAACCACGACAGTCTTTCATGGTGCCCAATGTGGGGCTCAGAGGGTTTGAGATAACGACAGATTTGATTGGAATGTGCCAGATCAAATTTATAGCTGTTATTGCTGTTTAGCTATTAACTGACAGGCTCCTGTGCTTGCCATGGGGCTTTCTTTTGTTACTGTATATTAGAGTCTAGTGCTCGTTAGTGGCTGCTTTTTGGTTTTGCTGCTTGCTGTACTGCTTATCATCTTACTCTGCTGTGCCTGGGAACATTTTGATAAAAAAAGATAATGACAAATGACCACAGTGCATTAGAACAAATTTCTTATAAGCATTCATTATATTAGTTTAATATATACTGTTAAAAAGGCAAAGTATGGCACCTGCCTGGTTCTGCGTGAAATATTGTTGTGTTTAAAATGATGTAATCTTGAGATTGGTGTCTACAACATTTAGCTTGCGTAAAATTGCCCTTAAAGGATAAACGGCATTGATCGCATAAACTAAGTGTGAGATCACAAAAATCCAATCAGTTATTTACCATTACAGGGAAGAGAAGGCAAGGGAAAGACAAAAAACCCCCAAACCACATGCAGCAATGATTCTTAGCAACTAGTAAGAGAGAAGAAACATTATGCTCAACATAGACCGAGAGAGAAAGGCAAGCCTGTCACATCTGAAAACAGTAGAGATGTATGGTGGTGAGCACTGTGAATGCTACCCACGAAGCTGGACAAGAACATATCTGCCTTTTAACTGTTTCATAAGCTCATTCTTATCCTCACTGTCAAACACAACCCAAGACTTGCCCTCTACAGAGGGCAGGAAGTGCTCCCGTAGCAGGTGCCTCTTCCAAAACGCTGTGCCAGAGCACTGCTGCATTCCGCTTTCGTTCCGCCCTTCCCCAGCTCAGCAAGTCTGACAAGAGACGCCGTGGTTTAGATTTTGTGCTTACATGTAAAGCTTCCTCTGATCCCAGCACCTTTGCATAGAGCTCACACAGCCTCGTCTTCCTGCAATAGAAAAGCGACAGAAGACTTCTGTGTGAGGAAAGAGAAAACAAACCACCTCTAATATGTCTTAGTTTCAAGAGAGCAAGTATTAGTATCTGCTTGATCTTCCCGTTCCAGCTTTTTGGGATCTATCCTGGTTGGTCACATCTGGATCACTAGAAATAACTCACTCAAACTCCTGTGCTGCACAAGTGCCGGTTTTACCAGCAGTTATGCAAGCTGTTCCCTTAAGATACCTCCGGCAGCCCAAATCCATACATTATCCAAAGGCTCTCTAGGCTGTCAGGAAAAGAAAGTAGTAAGGCATTATACTTTTTTGTCTTGGCACATAGTCTAACTTATGGTTTGCTCCTGCAAAGATGCAGGCATTGAGAGCCTGAGCCTCTCAGGGAATCAGTACTTTATTTCTGTATCTATAAAATTTCCTCCTCTTTTAGTTTGCGTCTATAAATCCATGAACAAACTTCATTCTGTAGCAAACCCCAAGTGCAATTAAGTTTGTTTCTACAAGCTTTTGGGTCTTACTGCTTACTGTTAGCTGCACTGCACCAATTCCCAAACACAAGATCAAGATGAAATAATAGTTAACAATTATGAAAAGCAAATATGCAAACACAACGCTGGAAAGACGATTACAAGTCCTGTGCTCCACAGAAAGCCATGTTGGGCACAGAAATACAGCAGTATCTTTAGCTGTATGGGCTACACTTGCAGCTATATACGTATGTGAGGAAACCGTATCTGTACTGCTGTATGAAGCAACCTGGCTGTACAGGAACCCAGCTGAAATCAGCCATGAGCAGCTGAACTCAAAGAATGCTATAGAGAGGGGATGAGGAGGAAAAAAAACCCAACCAAACACAACAACAGAAAAAAAAACCAAAACCCAAACACCTAACAAAAAGAACCCCAGACAGGAAGACCTGAAGGGCCTTGAAGAATGTGTCCTCCGGTGCAGGTCGGGGCTCGAGCAGGGAAGTGAAGGCTGCTACAGTTCAGGAAGCGCCGTGGCCCTGGGGCGATTTTGCTGCTGGCAGGTGTCAAGCCCCGCAGCAGCGGAGGGGAAGGAAGCCGCTCCTCCCTTGCGCCCCAGGGCAGAGGAGAAGGGCCAGCCTGCTCCAGAAGCAGAAATGCATGGTGACCCATGACTGGCCAGGAGAGTTCAGAAAGATGCAGGCTCTACATACGAATGTCCCTCCGTGGTCGGGGGGTGACGTGAATCCAGCAACAGCCATAACAAAAGGGATCGTTTCCTCCACCTCTCTCCCCGTCCCTCCCCAGGTGAGGTGACGGCCGTGCCCTGCAGACCGCCAGCACCCACCCAGGGTTTGAACAGAACAAAGCCGCTTTAACAGCATGATCCAGCAAAGCCTCTGCTGAGGTCTGCCCACCACCTCTCACAAACACCCGCCAGCTCCTGCTCTCAGGGCAGATCAGTAGCACCGTGGGGTGCTCACAGGAGAGCGAGTTATCACCTTGGGACCATCTGCTTCTGCTCATCCCAGCACCACGACAGGGATGAGAGGGACTGCTCTAGATCTGCCTCTGCCCTGCCCTTTTTCCACACGTGACTTGCAGACACTCCAGGGAGCCTGGACATGGCATACCAGAAGCTGGTAGGGATTCTCACGTATGGCCAGCTGCAGGGCCCCAAGAAGGTGCGAGTTCACTGCTGTTTGCAACTACATTGCAAATACAGATAAACACAGATACTGCAAGATAGCCACGGAAAAGGACATATTAAGCTTCGGGTCAAGGGCATCTTCAGACTCTTAAGAAATTATTCATCAATAGTAAGCACAGAAAAAGCACAGAAAAGCAGTTTCTAAAGGATTGAATTGTACCAACAGTAATCTATCACTGAGGACATTCCCCCTAATAAGATCAGTCCTTGCAGATGCGCTGGTCTCTCTGCAACACCTGCACTTTTTGTCCTTGAACAGTTTAAATAAATACTTATTTATGGATTTATGGTTAATGCTAGCATGCAACATACGGAATATGCAGTGAGTAAAATCCTTAGTTCTTAGCTTTGGACTCAGCTGTGAAATTGCCACCAGCACTAAATAAGAGAAATGTTGTGGAATGTTGTGCCTGGGGCTACCTAGGTAGGGTCCTGTTGAGAGTTACACTGTGCCCGGTGTGGAA